GCGTCAAGTAGATTGACTTTGTAGTTCTCTCGCAATTGTGGGCAAGCAGGATTTGAGTATGAAGCTTTTAGAGCGTCTAAGGGCCAATTTCACCAACATTAATATTTAACGGTCACTTGGACCAATAGGAAAACATCTTATCGAAACGCAAATGTCAAAGCTCTCTAATTCATACATTCAATTGCAGTTGCAGTTTGTTGTTTTATAACAGATCGCACTATCGGTGATGATGACACTCAACATAACCACGTATTTGCAGATTTAACCGTACACGACAGTGTAATATGTAATTCTGCACAAGAAAGTTCTTGGAGAGAGCACTTTTTATACCGAACATTTTTCAGAAATAACACAAGATCAAAATAATAAGTGACAACTGGCCACAAAACATAGAGTAAAAGAATAGACCAAAGAAGAATTGACGTTTCAAATTAGTGTCTCGCAATGTTAGTGATGGGAGAATACATAGAAGCATTCTAGAGGTTGCAAAGAACAGCTGGTTGTTGACACGGCTGTTACGGAGCAAATAGTTAAACAAAATCGGAACATGTTTACAGCATATATTGACTTCAGGAGCGCCAACGACTCGGTTCCCCATAGCTGGTTGCTGAAAATATTGGAAGTTTACAAAACAAATGATGACGAAATGAAAAACCAAACTCATTATCTTGGAAAAAGACGGATTTGTCGGAACAGAAGATATTAACATCAGACGTGGTGTCTTCCAAGGGGATGCCCTCTGATTAACCCTCTACCAAATATCCTAAGGAGAACAAACAAGCGCGTTCCAATTAAACCTTGAAGGGAGGTTAAATATGCACTGTCATATCTACTATATATGGATGATATCAAACTAAATGCTTAGACAGAACAAGAGCTGAAACATCTGCTGGAACTAACACACATATTCTCCAGTGATGTAAAAATGGAATTTGGCCCAGAAAAGTGCAAAACACAACTATGCTTAACTTGGACAGAAAAATCAAAGTCAGACCGTTAAGAACTCTCAACAAGCGTTTCAGCGTTGACCTTGGATTTGATGTTGTTCATCAATATTTAAGATTACTTCAAGGTCGACTTGTTTTTTTAAATTTGACATCGGCAAAAAGCAGAAAAATGTATCTACTGATATCAAGGTCATCCCTAATGATCAAATGAAGGCTAAGTGTGTGAGCTGGACTATTGATGAAAATCAAAGTCAGATCTTCTAAGACTTTGAACAAGCGTTTCAACCTTGACCTTGGACTTGATCTTAATCATCACTTCAACATTACTTCAAGGTCAACTCGTGCTTTTCTAAATAGAATGCCCCTTTTTGTATCCTATAAGATCAAGGTCACCTCTTAAGGTGAAATGAAGGTCAAGTCTGTGAGTAGGACTATTGATGGAAAGAAGAATCAAAGTCAGACCTTTAAGAACTTTCAACGAGCGTTTCAGCATTGACCTTGGATTTGATCTTGATCATCACTTCAAGATTATTTCAAGGTCAACTTGAATCTTTTAAATAGAATGCCCCATCCCCGACAACGGCACACAGCAAAAACATGTACGTGCAAATATATGTATCCTATAATATTTGAAGGTCTAATGAAGGTCAAATGTATTAGCAGGACCATTGATGAACAAATCAAAGTCAGACCTTTCAAAACTTTTAACAAGGATCTCAACGTTGACCTTGGATTTGTTCTTGATCATCACTTCAAGATTATTTCAAGATTAACTTATTTACAGTAATGTTGGAGTAAAGGAATAGACCAAAGAAGAATTGACGTTTCAAATTAGTGTCTCAATATGTTAGTGATGGGAAAATACATAGAAGCATTCTAGAGGATGCAAAGAACAGCTGGTTGTTGACACGGCTGTTACGGAGCAAATAGTTAAACAAAAGCGGAACTTGTTTACAGCATATATTGACTTCAGGAGCGCCAACGACTCGGTTCCCCATAGCTGGTTGCTGAAAATATTGGATGTTTACAAACAAATGATGACGAAATGAAAAACCAAACTCATTATCTTGGAAAAAGACGGATCTGTCGGAACAGAATATATTAACATCACACGTGGTGTCTTCCAAGGGGATGCCCTCATATTAACCCTCTACCAAATATCCTAAGGAGAACAAACAAGCGCGTTCCAATTAAACCTTGAAGGGAGGTTAAATATGCACTGCCATATCTACTATATATGGATGATATCAAACTAAATGCTAAGACAGAACAAGAGCTGAAACATCTGCTGGAACTAACACACATATTCTCCAGTGATGTAAAAATGGAATTTGGCCCAGAAAAGTGCAAAACACAACTATGCTTAAACTTGGACAGAAAAATCAAAGTCAGACCGTTAAGAACTCTCAACAAGCGTTTCAGCGTTGACCTTGGATTTGATGTTGTTCATCAACATTTAAGATTACTTCAAGGTCGACTTGTTTTTTTAAATTTGACATCGGCAAAAAGCGGAAAAATGTATCTACTGATATCAAGGTCATCCCTAATGATCAAATGAAGGCTAAGTGTGTGAGCTGGACTATTGATGAAAAATCAAAGTCAGATCTTCTAAGACTTTGAACAAGCGTTTCAACCTTGACCTTGGATTTGATCTTAATCATCACTTCAACATTATTTCAAGGTCAACTCGTGCTTTTCTAAATAGAATGCCCCTTTTTGTATCCTATAAGATCAAGGTCACCTCTTAAGGTGAAATGAAGGCCAAGTCTGTGAGTAGGACTATTGATGGAAAGAAAAATCAAAGTCAGACCTTTAAGAACTTTCAACAAGCGTTTCAGCATTGACCTTGGATTTGATCTTGATCATCACTTCAAGATTATTTCAAGGTCAACTTGAATATTTTAAATAGAATGCCCATCCTCGACAACGGCACACAGCAAAAACATGTACGTGCAAATATATGTATCCTATAATATTTGAAGGTCTAATGAAGGTCAAATGTATTAGCAGGACCATTGATGAACAAATCAAAGTCAGACCTTTCAAAACTTTTAACAAGGATCTCAACGTTGACCTTGGATTGTTCTTGATCGTCACTTCAAGATTATTTCAAGATTAACTTATTTACAGTAATGTTGGAGTAAAGGAATAGACCAAAGAAGAATTGACATTTCAAATTAGTGTCTTACAATGTTAGTAATGGGAGAATACATAGAAGCATTCTAGAGGTTGCAAAGAACAGCTGGTTGTTGACACGGCTTATACGGAGTAAATAGTTAAACAAAAGCGGAACATGTTTACAGCATATATTGACTTCAGGAGCGCCAACGACTCGGTTCCGCATAGCCGGTTGCTGAAGATATTGGATGTTTACAAAAACAAATGATGAAGAAATGAAAAACCAAACTCATTATCTTGGAAAAAGATGGATTTATCGGAACAGAATATATTAACATCAGACGTCTTCCAAGGGGATGCCCTCTTATTAACCCTCTCCAAATATCCTAAGGAGAACAAACAAGCGCGTTCCAATTAAACCTTGAAGGGAGGTTAAATATGCACTGTCATATCTACTATATATGGATGATATCAAACTAAATGCTAAGACAGAACAAGAGCTGAAACATCAGCTGGAACTAACGCACATATTCTCCAGTGATGTAAAAATGGAATTTGGCCCAGAAAAGTGCAAAACACAAACTATGCTTAAACTTGGGCAGAAAAATCAAAGTCAGACCGTTAAGAACTCTCAACAAGCGTTTCAGCGTTGACCTTGGATTTGATGTTGTTCATCAACATTTAAGATTACTTCAAGGTCGACTTGTTTTTTTAAATTTGATATCGGCAAAAAGCGGAAAAATGTATCTACTGATATCAAGGTCATCCCTAATGATCAAATGAAGGCTAAGTGTGTGAGCTGGACTATTGATGAAAAATCAAAGTCAGATCTTCTAAGACTTGGAACAAGCGTTTCAACCTTGACCTTGGATTTGATCTTGATCATCACTTCAACATTATTTCAAGGCCAACTCGTGCTTTTCTAAATAGAATGCCCCTTTGTATCCTATAAGAGATCAAGGTCACCTCTTAAGGTGAAATGAAGGTCAAGTCTGTGAGTAGGACTATTGATGGAAAGAAAAATCAAAGTCAGACCGTTAAGAACTTTCAACGAGCGTTTCAGCGTTGACCTTGTATTTGATGTTGATCAACATCATTTAAGATTACTGCAAGGTCGACTTGTTTTTATAAATTTGACATTGGCAAAAAGCGGAAAAATGTGCCTCCATATACGTATCTACTGATATCAAGGTCATCCCTAATGATCAAATGAAGGCCAAGTGTGTGAGCTGGACTATTGATGAAAAATCAAAGTCAGATCTTCTAAGACTTTGAACAAGCGTTTCAACCTTGACCTTGATCTTGATCATCACTGCAAGATTATTTCAAGGTCAACTTGTACCTTTTAAATAGAATGCCCCATCCTCGACAACGGCAAACAGCAAAAACGTGTACGTGCAAATATATGTATCCTATAATATTTGAAGGTCTAATGAAGGTCAAATGTATTAGCAGGACCATTGATGAATAAATCAAACTCAGACCTTTCAAAACTTTTAACAAGGATCTCAACGTTGACCTTGGATTTGTTCTTGATCATCACTTCAAGATTATTTCAAGATTAACTTATTTTTTTATAATAGAATGTCCACTTCCTAAGAACAATGGACGGAAAATGTCCATCCAAACATGTAGCCTACAAGATCAAGGTCTAGCGAAGGTCACATGTATATTGTTGAAAAAATCAAATTCAGACCAATCAAAACTTTTAACCAGAATTTCAACATTAACTTCGAATTTCGACCTTGATCCTTGCCTTCAAGGTTATTTCAAGGTGAGCTGTTTTTTTCAGATGGAGTACCCTTTTTTCTCTCTGTAGACTCATTTCTTCTTACAAACTGTTTGCTAACAACTGACTTCTCTCCGCGCGTCATCCCTTCTACATCTCAAAGTCGTTCACTCCTACAAGGTCACACCCACTCAAGGTCGTGAGTGTTCGAGGTCATATATGTTCAAGGTCACACTTCAAGGTCATTCGAAAACTCGAGGTCACACTTCAAGGTCACTCGGAAACTCAAGGTCACTCGGAAAATCGAGGTCACACTTCAAGGTCACTCGGAAACTCGAGGTCACACTTCAAGGTCACTCGAAAAACTCAAGGTCACACTTCAAGGTCACTCGGAAACTCAAGGTCATGTTTCAAGGATAGATTTCAAGGTTGGCACCGAAGGTCAGCTCTCAAGGTCGTTTGGCACCGAAGGTCGGCGCTCAAGAGCGTCCCAGAACATACAAACCCTAGCTACTGATGAGTTAGCGGAAAAATCTATATCCGAATATGTAGACTACAACATAAAGGTCACCTATAAAGGTCAGATGAAGGTCAAAGGTGCGAGCAGGACTACTGATGAAAATATCAATCAGAAGCGTCACTTTTAAGATTATGTCGAAGTCGTCTTGCCCGCTTTTTGAAACCGGCAAAGCATTGATAAAGCAATCAAAGTTAGATCTCCCAAGCTTTTAGCCAGGACCACAACATTCACATTGAATTTGACCTTGCGCGTCACGTTACCTCCAAAGCCAACTTTTGTTTTTTAAAGGGAATACCTTTTTGACACCAAGAATCGAAAGAACGAAAAACCGTTGGTCCGAATAGGTCTCCTCAAAAGGTCCAATGAACGTTAAATTCAACAAGGAGTTCAACATTGACCTTGAATTTGACCTTAATCCCACCTCCAAGGTTACTTGGTGGTTTTAGAATGTGAAATTTTCCATTGCTAGTGGCAAAAAGGGTCCCTAGTTAAAAAATTTGAGCTTCAAAAAGTCCTGAAGATGAGGCTTATGGTAGAATCCAAAGTGACTATTGAAATCGTTAAAGCTATATTTAGTTTCATAGCTAAGGTTGTATTTAGAGTCCTCTGCTTTCGGCGTCTAAATTCATTTCGATCTTATTAAGGGTATTTCTTGTCGCGAAAGTTTGCTTCGATCGCGTTCATTACAAGAAAATGCAAATTTGTTTTGGGACTATTTTAAATTACTTTCAACGAAATTATTCATTACGGAGATGGACGGTGATTGCAAAAGTCTCGACTTTCTTTGCCAATTTATCCGGTAATGGCAAGCTGCGACTTTGAACGACTTTTTATCTTAGATTTAACAAGACTAAGCTGAATTTTCATCCAATCTTCAAAGAACCCTCAGCACCCGTATTTGATGGAAGACTGTCAAGAAGACCGACTAGGTACTAGCCATGTTAAGATCCTGGTCTTTTAAAGTCAACAGAAAATATGAAGCTTTAAAACGTTCTGCAAAATAAAATATATTTCCCACAATGAGTTCAAATAATTCTACTTACCAGTTCGAGTTGTTTGACATACGCCGAGCTAGAATTGTTAGCTTGAATCAGAGGTTTGCCTTTATTGAGATGGCGCATATAACCATTCCCAAGGAGAACATGTCGCTGAGTAGGCTGCATACCGACTGTGTTTGCGTTTCAGGAGCTGAAAATAAAAGAAAAATGATAACATTTATGAAAATTAAGAAATGATAAAATTCAAAAAGAAACTAGACCTTATCGAAATGCAATTTGACAGAAGCTGTCAAAGCTCTCTGAATATCAGTGATTTCTATTGAAATGTTGAATAAAGCCGTAAAAAACGGTTGCCTTATAAATAAGGGTACATTATAGATGTATAGTCAACGCCAAACAAAGTGGCGTGCACGTCATCACGATAAAAATTCCCCGACCTAATGCCTAGGTTTTCTATCACAAACAATTGCTCTATTGCAGTTTCATATTAATGTGATATATAAATTGTAAAATGGTCATCACTCTCTTATTATGGTTAATAGTCATATAAACATTGTTATTAAAATATCACATAAGTTGCTTTCTGATAAATTTAGACGCATTATGCGAAATAAAATGTTTTGCAAACGCTCCAATCACTTATCGACATGTAAACGCACTAAACCGATTTCGCAGCGTTGACACATTGGTCACCTTGAAACTTATTTAAACTGGGAACTGACATTGTATTAATTTTGACACTGAATCAATTTGTGGCATTTCAAATCTTTATAAAACCCTTTGGCCCCGCATACTGTAAATCAACAAACTGTTTGTTTCAAAACGAAATTATTCATTTTTACGAGTTAGATAAGGCAATTTTGGTATATAAAGAGGCCCAAACAGTTTAATAGTTGGTTGTTGTAAGGAACTCGTGGCCTCGTTAATGCAACTACTTTGAGCAAGCACGAGGACAACAACGGGCCTTTGCTTGCCTTTTAAATGCTGTTCAAGAGGTAGGTTACTAATAATTATATGGAATGTATATTAATAATAGTAAAATTTTATTTCCATTTTTTGTAGCGTGTTGCTGCTGCTTTAAATAGTTTAGTTTAAGGACATTTAGTCGTATTCCGAGGTGTGAAAAGTGTGAAGTGCAAATTTAGATCGCCCAAGAAAAAGCGGAGTTATATTAAACCGTGTAACCAACACAGCGACATTGGATACAAGTGCACTTCGAGAAGTGATCTATAATATGTATCACAAAAGTAAGATCTTATTATAATAACTTATCAGAAATTTGCATTAATTTGTTAACTAAATTATAATGTCATATTACACATGGTTTCAGAAGAACAAGTTACGATACAAACTTTATGGTCTCGATTAAGAGATAGGGCATTATTTGATGGTAGTGCCACGTCTTTAAGGCGGTTGCTTAGAGATCTTGGATTTAAGTGGCTTAAGGACAATCCGCGACGAGGGCTCATGGAACTACCAAGTATAGCTTTGAAAAGGGTGGAATTTCTAAGGCAATACAATCAAGCCAAGGTTGAGGCCTTATACCAGTTTGTCTTCCTGGATGAAACTTGGATATTCAAAATGGGACCATAGGTCGCTCTTGGCAAAATGGAAACCAAAAAAGCGTGAAAGCTATTAAAACAGATGGTAAAAGGTATGTACTTTTACAAATTTGCACTATAAAATTTAAAACTAATATATTTTAGATACATTATATTACATGCTGGAAATGAAAATGGGTTTATTGAGGGTAGTAGTGAAGCGATATTTTCTTCGAAACAAAATTGAGCGATTACCATGGAGAATGAACCAGGACAATTTTTTGAAATGGTTTCAACATCAGTTATTAGAAAAATTGGAGAGTCATCTATGATTATACTGGATAACGCCCCCTTATCACAGCATGATATTGAACAAAGTGCCCAACAATGCATGGACAAAAAAATATCCAAGACTGGTTGACACAATCAAAACAAACCATTTTTAAACACAAGGTTAAAACAGAGCTATTGAGTATTGTTGCTCGGTACATAATGCTTCTTAATTATATATATTTTGGTCGACAGTGTTATATTTCTTTTGTTTATTCTATTCTTAAAATAACTGCTTTTTTAGAAACAAACCACCTAAATATACGTGATTGATGAATTGGCGAACAACATGGGCACAAAGTTCTTCGTCTGCCTCCTTACCATGTATATTTAACCCTATTGAGTTAATTTGGGGCATAGCAAAAGGTTACTATAACAGACATATTGGTAGAGATGGTAACAGTGAAGAAGACTGTTTGGATATGTGGAACGAGGCTCTACAAACGGTTACCCCAGACATGTGGAAAAATAGTGTTCGACATACTGAGCAAGAAATTTTTAAATGGTATGAAAGAGAACGAATTTTTGATCGACCAGACATCGAACCTTTAATAATCAACTTTGAGAGTGATGAAGATTCAGATTCAGACAGCGCTGAAGAAAGAAACTCCGACTAACTTTATTGTACAGAAAAAGCTTACACCAGTAGCTTACCTAATTTTAGAATGCATTTTTCTGTATGAATTCTGTAAAATAAATACCATGCATAAAATTTGGAGCCCATTTGGATTTTTATTCAGTACCTTTAAGCTATCAATTAAATATGGTAGTTTCATAGTGTCATCTGATCAATAATTGTCATACTTAATGATTATGCAAGTACAGATCTATAATTTTATTATACTATTATTTTTGTTCTCATTTGAGGTTAATATTGCTTATAAACCTAGATATGTAAATAATAAATTTTATTATTTTACAAAAAGTTTGGCAACAATGTAAATTTTTCAACACACCCACCTTGATGCACGTCACGCCACTTTGTTTGGCGTTGACTATATAATTATGTATAAACTAAACAAATTAATTGGCAAGGACTGTAAAGTGGTTACAAAGTTGAGAAATTTATTAGTTTCTTAGAAAAAGTGTAAACATTTGTCAAAAGGGGTGATTATAATTATAAGTAAATTTACGCTTTTGGAGTTTTTTGCTTTGATAAATATTTTGTTGGGGTTCCTGGTTTTTGTTTTGTTTGGTTGCTTATGTCATTAAAGTTTAATGATTTTTTAATAATTCAACGCGTTTTTTAATTTGCTATCTCCTTTATCTTGCAATTTATTTCCGAAAAAAACAAACCAGTATTTCAAATATCATGCAGTTCCTCTATGTATTCTAATATCCGTATCAGGTAATAGTCCTGCTTCCTCCAGTACATGATTCATACTATTTCAAAACGATGCTGAATTAAAAATTTACCTCGGTTCTAGAATATTC